CATTGTGATATCTTCAACCTCTTATTCAGCTGGTATGTCAAACTCATTGTGATATCTTCAACCTCTTATTCAGCTGGTATGTCAAACTCATTGTGATATCTTCAACCTCTTATTCAGCTGGTATGTCAAATTCATTGTGATATCTTCAAATAAGTTCTTCCTTCATCCAACCTGAACCCACGGTTTAGCTTACACTTAAACCATCAGTTTCACAACTATATCTTGAACATTTCAAGCATATTTCATTGCTGAATCATTTTACAAGTTAACTTCTCCGGGTCACGGGTCTAGTCCCCGAAAACAGTGTCAAACGACTTTTTTTTTCTAACAAAACAACCCAAACCTTTCCTGGGTGACTCATTTTTTCTTGATCAACATCAAGATGTCGGGCTGGCTGGTATGACAGGAGTTAATTTCCTTTAATAAAATAAGAAAATTACTGTACCTTATGAAAATGGAGAAAATTTAATACTAATAAAATAACTTATAAGTAAAAATGAATCTTCTTGATAGTTTTTACCTCCCCCAGTTTCACAGCAGTAAGTCTGAAGGCTTACAACGCTACAAACCAGGTTTCGGTACCCGTGGTGGACATATCACACATAGCCTATTGTGAAGCTTTGTGCTTACTACAAACGAACAAAGTAATCACCTATTTATTAAGTCTCCAGATGAGACAGCGGTAAGTTTACGGACTTCCAACGCTACAATCGGGGGTTCGATTTCCCACAGTGGACACAACAGATAGTCCAAAGTGGTTTTGTTCTAAAAACAAACAAATAAGATCGTTTTTATAATCAAAACTGATGATGATGTCTTCCTGTAACCAATGACATTGTAATTGCTTTTTATAACTGATGTGGAACTTTATGCATGTTTGGTAAAACTATTCTGAAATCAACTAATTTAGAATATGTTTCTGTAAAACTAAAATCATTGGCTAGTCTGTGATATCAAAATTGATGATCACATTTTCCTTCTACATCCACATCTGCAGCGTTTCGAAATCCCATTCCTGCTTTCTGGCTTTTTGTGCCAAGTAAAAAAAGCATACTAAATTCTAACCTTTGCAGGAATGGATTGCAAAAAAATCGGAATTACTTTAGACATCAAACTGTTATTAGTTTTCTTTTACCTGAAGTGATTTGTATGAAAAAATGAATAATAAGTCCAAAAACATATATTAAATATGACTGTTTGTTTGTAATTTAAGCACAAAGCTACACAAGGGCTATCTGTGCTCTGCCCACCACGGGTATCGAAACCCGGATTCTAGCGTTGTAAGTCTGCAGACATACCGCTGTCCCACTGGGGGGCAAATATGACTGATATACCTCGATGTCTAAAACCATGCTGAGCGACATACTTCAAATTTGAAGAAAGACAAGTAAAGAAAAACAGTTGTATCATTTTTAACTTCCTTTTTATTTCTAGAAAAATATATAAAAATCTTGAATGAGAAACAATAAAAATTTAATTTTGCATGATGTCATAAAATAAAAGTACATCTTTCGGCGTATTCATGGTTCATAAAATGTGCATTTCCAACTAGCGAATAATATGCAAGTTCAAGTAATGAAGAATGTGCATGTTCAAATAAAGAGGAGTGTGTATGTTCAAGTAACGAGAAGTATGCATGTCCAAGAAATGAAGAATACGTGTTTAAATAACAAAGAATATTCATGTTCACACAACAAAAAACAAGTTTTCAAGAAAGAATATACATTTAAAGTAAAGAATATGTACGTCCAAGTAACATTATTTATTAGAACGAGTTGTGTTTGTGTATACCATTCCCGCGTTTTTAATTCGTACGAATTGTGTTTCTGTATACCATTACCGCGTTGCTCATTAGAATGAAGGGTATTGGTATATACCATGACAGTGGTATTCATTATAACGAGTTATTTTTGTATATACCATTACTCTGTTACTCATTAGCACGAGTCATATTTGTGTATACCATTACTGCGTTATTCATTATAACGAGTTATTTTTGTATATACCATTACCCTGTTATTCATTAGCACGAGTCATATTTGTGTATACCATTACTGCGTTATTCATTATAACGAGTTATTTTTGTATATACCATTACCCTGTTATTCATTAGCACGAGTCATATTTGTGTATACCATTACTGCGTTATTCATTCGAACGACTTGTGTTTCTGTATACCATAACCTCTTTACTCATTATAACGAGTTGTGTTTGTGTATACCATTACCGCGATATTTGTTAGAACGAATTGTATTTTTGATACCATTACCAAGTTATTCATTAGAATGAGTTGTGTATGCCATTACCCTGTTATTCATTAGATCGAATTGTGTGTGTGTATATACCAGTACTGTCTCATTCATTATAACGAGTTGTATTTGTGTATACCGTTACCGCATTATTCATTAGCCCTGTCGCAACGGGTATCCTTTACTGCGCATGTCACAAGGTTTTAGTGTCTTACATCCAAAATTCTATTAAACTACTTTTTATTTATGTTATACCAATTAGAATACCATAAATTCTTAGCTGATAATCCATATATTAATATTATATAAGTTTTAAGTTCTTAATTCTACAAAGTAATATTTAAAAAAATCCCGAATTTTTCCAAGAGTAACTCAGGCGACACGTTTTCTTTTAGCGTATCATCTTCCCTATTTTATCCAAGAAATTAAACGTAAATTACTCTAAGCTAAGTCTTGGTGATGACAATTTAATTTGAACTTTATTGAAATAAATAAAACTTGGTTTTCTATAGTAATACCCATAAGTGGGGTGATATCATCCCTCATTAACTCCACTGTCCAGTTGAAAATGACATGTGAGGTAACCCAGTAAAAAAGTTGAAAAGTTTATCAGAATTTTCATGAGATTTTACAGTTACAAACTGAAAAAGAGATCTATTGAGTTGATTCTTAAACCTATTCTTCATCTGTTGAAGCCTTTGTAAAGTCTCTGGTTTTCAACTTATATGCTGTCAGTAAGGACCTTGTCTGGGTTAACTCCTTAAAAAAAAAAATCTGTTATTTCAATTATGTGAAAACATTTAATACAGTGATGTTTCATCAGTTGAATATATGTTAAGTAGTATAAGTACAGATTAAGTACTGGTACTATGTTTAAGTATAAATGATATGTATGTGGAATATGTGCTATTTTTATAATACACATGTGATCTACGAAAATGTGTTAATATCTGTTGTTTTATAATCTACAATCATAACCTGCTGACACCTTTCTGACAACACAGAGCCAATTCATACATACATAATAACTGAAGATGTTTTTCATGTGATGGATATATTGTTCTAACATTTAAACTGTATGTTGAACTTTGAATGAACCAATTTAATACTGTTAAAACTTAGCAGACACCATATGCTACATATCTGACTAGCTAATTCTAACAATGCTTCAGCACATTCAGACTTTGATGTTTCTTCTTACCTTTCTCTTTATGGACCTTGCATAATAGCTTTTCTTTGCAGAAATAACAGAATTACTTGGGGTACAGTGACTAAATATGTATATGTAAGTAAAGTATACAGTATATATAAAATGTATATATATATGCAAAGTATTACACTTCATAAACAAATAATCTAAATTTTTAAGATTCTTTGGAATATTAGAACATAGAGTTTTAATAACAAGGTCTTGAAAGGGACTCGGTTTTTTCTCATTGTTAATGTCAGATATTGTTTTGTCCCCAATAAAAAGAATGTAAGCTTATTCTGTTTTTATCAGCTGAATATGACTGTTTAGTATGAATTATAAACCAGCAACAGGTGTTCTGCAGTCTCCTTTCCTGCTTCTATAAATAAACTTACCTTTAATAAAAGGATCACTACAGATCCTTGTGATGATATGGGGCTCTCAGTTCTTTTTCCCAAAGGCATTTATCCACTTTGTCCTTTTCTCATCTTTTCGGGGAAAACAAAAAATTCCTTCCCACTACCTTTCTGAAATCTGGTTGTACAATTTACGGCACAACAACTAACTGGCATATTGATAATATTTTATTGAGAAACTTGTAACACTGCAGTGCAAAACACTGTAATCGACAATATAATGTGTTTAAATAAGCTATGGCCTACTTTCTGCCAACCAAGCACCTTCCACGTGGTGTTTAATGAGATGCATGACATCATTTCCCAGCCACAAATTGGCATTTTATGCTATTACTTCAGCTACATAACTACTTCAATAAAGAACAAACATAGAATGACAAAAATAAAACAACTTAGACCTAACTGGATATAAAAAATTTAACTTTCTGCTTAATAATAGACAAAAAATTCAAAATATTTTTTTCTTATCTTTAATTAGTTACATTGTATGTAAAAACTTCTACAAACAGATGAGAAAATTAGTATGGCTTTATTGAAAATATTGCCTCTGTTGAATATACTTAGTAGATTTTAAACACACCATAAAAAAACAAGAACTCTAAGACAAAATAAAGTATTTTTTGTTTCTTTTTAAAAATAGTGTTTAAAACCAAAATTTCTGAAAACTCACAATTTAAGATGTTATACAAATACTAAACCAAATTATTTTTCCAACCAAAAGTACATATTATGTAGAAAATGTGTACCAAACTTCAAGCAGTTTGGTTAAACATTTTAAGTGTTAGACCAAAACAAACAAGGATGACACAATGTTACTCTGCCACCAAGGATAGGGTTGAATATTTTAAGGGTTATTTTGTGTTATGTTTTATGAAGACCTGTATTGTATGATTACTTTCATGTGACTCTAACAGGCAGATTTTGTTGAAAAGCATAGTATTTCTAGCATGTTTTGAGTTCTTTATAGTGAATTTTGTGTATTGAGTTTTTGCATACTTTTTATTCCCTATTTTGTATTAGAGTGAATAGTAATTACAATTATTCAATATTAAGAGTTTTAATGTAACAAGTGAATTGTGTCTCAAATAATAAAGGTTTCCTTTTTATTATGTATCAATTCTTTGTTATTAAAGAGTTTATGTTCTATTTTCTTATATGGTAAACTTCAATTTTGCTTTCTGGTATGTCGTTCAATTATGGTTGGACTGTGTCTCATCGTTAAAGGGTATTTATAACGTATCTTTGTTAAAAGGCCTTCCTTGTGTGCATTCGCATCAGTGTTAATAAAATTATTTTGATATTGTTAAAGAGCTTATGTTTGTAGGTATTATGTAACATATTTCTTTTGTAAAATTGTTTTTTGTCAGTTGTAACTGTTGTATTGCATACTCTTTATTCAAGGTTTGTAACATCTGTGTGGTGTTTTCAGGAGTGATAGAAAGCTTACTCCTTGACCAAAATGCGAGCTTAAAGTTTATTGGTATTAAAGTTAAAATTAATAGTTGATTTGAGAACAAGTCTGAAGTAGGGAAAATAAGAAAGTGTGGGATATGAATATGCCAGGAATTTCTATCTTTTTGTAATATTATATATAGTATTTATTCTGAATTTATAATTTATTAATTTATTCTGTGTATATGCAGATCGAAAAAGCTGTTAAGTTTATTTCTTTCTAGCTGCCTTTATTATTCTCTAGGAGATAATACCTGTTCTGCCTGTGGGAAGTATTGCTGTAATACTACAAGTTGTGTAAGGATGTTGACAACAGTGTCCTTTGATGGTAGGTCAACAGGTATTTCAAGGTTATTGTCTCCCCTATGCTTAAATGAGAATGATCAGTGATGTAGTTAGCACTAGTTGCTCTGTGTTGAATTTAATTACACAGTCTAATATATACTCCTGAGGAAGACAGTCTGTTACATAATCTTATAGAAGTAAGTTTGGAGAGAAGTTATCTACCTGACAGTTTTTAACGTGCATGTAATCACTATACAGATATTTGAAATTTTTAGTTTTGATACAGAGGAAGAACACTTAAACTTATACCTATAGAGAAAACAAAGGAGAAGAAATACACATCATAGGGCATTGACATCATCCTTTAATTACAGATAACAGTAACAAATTTTAGTTCAACTTTATATATATTAAGTACAGTGGTAAATCTTCATGTGAACTACCAATCAGCACTGTTGTTAGCAAGATAATCACGGCGACCAATATTGGAAGCTTGTTTGTTCTGCATGGCTTCTAGTTTTGGACAATCTGTAATTCGATGACCCAGGCCACCACAGTATGAACAGCCCCGTTCATCTGTGAAAAAAAAAATTATATATACGTATGTATGCAAATATTTTATCAATCTTCCAAAAAGATTTTTTTAAAACCTATAAAGAAAAGGTAAAAAACATCTAAAACTGATAGGTGAGGAAAGGCTTTAAAATTAGTAGGAACTGAAAAAGTTTTTGAACTATTAGATATAAATACAGCTATTTAGAATAAAAATTCTTAAAAATGGGTTTTCATAACATTCTTATATGCAATCCAAATTCTTTTATTGAAGATAGCTTTCAAATTGCTTCAGGAGTTGTCACTAGGCTTAATAAACATCATGTGTATACAGTTATAAATATACAGAAGTTCCAAATAACAATGCTGAGTGTATTTTGAGACATGTTGATATTGTGGAAAAGACATTAAATAGCAAAGTTAAATACTACAGTCTGTGCAGTGAAAGGGATCTTAGAAAATATTAAATGAAAATACATAATACATAAATTATACATATCTGTATAGATACCAATTAGCTATAATATAGTAACATACTAATTTAAATTTTTGTATTATGCTATCATTCTCTTTAGATTGTAACACAGAACGCTCTCTTTAAACTCACCTCCAAGATCCAAGTACTTTTCATTCTCAGACTGTAGGGTTGCAAGGAATTGAGGAACTTTCTGTTTGGCTTCTATAAGGAGGTGCTTCAAATCTAGTAACACTGACTCATCTGTTGATAGATACAAATAACACCAAGTCTTGTAATCAAAGAACAATAATAATACCACCACATTTATCAAGAGGTACTAGCACCTAAATCTTCCATGGCCAACTATCAATGATAATTTGACACTGTGAATAGTTATCAGAATTACAGTACTAATGGCACAGATTTAGCTGTGACCATATATTATTAACATAAGACTTTCTGTTAAACACTGGTTATCCAAATTGAACAGAATATTAAGTGCTAATAACTTAATAGTTTTACTGGCCATTAAGACTGACTGAAGTACTCAAAAATGTGTACTAATGTTATCCATTTTGAAATATTTGATAAAAAACCATCTTTAAACTAGTAAAGCATCTTTCTTTAATATTAAACTTATTTTAAATATTAATTTACATATACATCTACAGTATATGGAGACATTTTTCATTATAAGTATAAAGTAGCATTTTTTTTCATTCTTAAGTTAATTATGTCACATACGAAATTTTCAAGTCCTCAATTTATAGTAACATATATAGCTTTCATAATCCAAAGAAATGAAAAAAATTCTCACCACATGCTTTATTAAGAAAAGTCGTAGCAATTCCCGTTTTACCAGAACGACCTGTTCTACCAATACGATGAACTGTAGAAATAAAAACATTTCATATTAAGTCATGAGATTGGCCTGTACTGAAAATGGAAGTCCACTTAGCCTCCATCTGAAGAAAACCCTGGCACTTTGTGCCCATGCTACACACCTTCCCCATGGAAATTAAATGAAATATTTTCCATAACTTTGGATGGCTTCAAATCTGGCCATCAAAAACTCCTAAAATAACATTAACTGATATTTTTTGTTTAAATACTCAAATCATAAACTATTTAAACTAGCATTTTACATGGTTCAGTGTACAATTTGCTTTTTCTGAAAAACAACAACAAAGTTTTTATGTTGTAAAGAAAAAAAACTCAATGTTTTAAAAATCTGTGCCATATTTTTGTGCCACTGTTACCATTTTTTTGTATTGAATTTTTCCAGTCAGTTTGCCTTCTTTGTCACTGCTCACTTTCTTTTGCCTTTTCTCTTGTTATCAAAACGTTGGCTTTCATTGTCACCAACTTCACTTTATCTCCTATTCCAAATGCCTAGTTTCCTTTCTGTGCTACTGGTACTCTTGTATTGCATTGGTTTCTTCCAACAGTATTCTCTTTCAGTTTCTCACACTAACATCAGTTTAATTTTCCAGTAATTGATTCTAAGCTTAACTTTATGTAGACATTGCAATTTTCATTTTTTTTTAGTCACAAGTTATTAGCATTCTGGATAAGTAGTGCAGCAGTCTCAGTAGTTACAGGACCATGAATACAAAACTAGCTTATGATGTTAATGTCCTGTGACATTCCAAGTATAAAGAAGTTTTTCTGATAATATCACCATCCCACATCATGGAAAAAATTGGTTTCAAAGAAAATATTTCAAACTAAAAATAATACTCAAATGCATTCATTCAAGCTTCTCAAATAATTTGAGATACTCATAACAATGGTTTAGCACAAAAATACAAAACCCTGTAACCAGAGTGCTTTTGAAAGGTTGACTTTTCTTCATCAGGGGCAACTGGAAATGTCCCTTTCAACAAGTTTAATTTACATATAAAAACTAAAATTAAATAAAAAAACCTGCTTTCTCTTAAACATCAATATAATGCAAATGAATAAAAATAAAAGTGGCTTTATTACAGACATTCTCCTGAATAAATTGGTATGAAACATAGTAAGTTCTATTACAAGATGTTTCACTTTTCATTTTTGTAGTTACTAAGTTTAAAGACTGAAATTTCAAAAGAAATCATCAGAGATTTAAATAAATATTAAATTTGCATCTTCTTCATTCATATATTGCATCACATAATTTGTTGCCTAGCATAAGTACAATGCACATAATGGTGATCCACGGCACGTAAATATTGTAGAAAACACCCAAACTAAACCAAAAATCTACAATAGTCCTCTCTCCTAGTTTCCTGTAAGTTTTCTCTTTTCTGTAATCACATTTATTAGCCATTGATCAAAATTAAACTACAATATATAAGTCAGCTTCTCTTGTTGACCATAGTAAATTAGATCAACCATTAGTTTACAGGATTGTGAAATGTTAATAAAGGGGGAATTACAGTGATTTAAAACATAATAGAAAAACATTATAGGTACTGTTAAGTACCAAAACAATACTTCAGAAACACTAACTTGAAAACTGCATTAAATAAAGAAATTCATTGAACATATTTCAAAAATAATTTTTATATTAACAAGGAATCATTATCAGTACACAATAATTTTAACATATTCAGTCCTTATTTTTAGTATTTTTTTTAATTGAAAGATTAGTTAAGCTGTTCAAAGACCCAGGGATCATGTGACCAGGTAAAATGGCTTTAAACTTTGCCTTCACAGTTCTGAGTTTGCTAATTATCTGTGTTACTTTGTCAACGTAATCTTCTTTATGCAAAATAACCCTGTAGCTTCTTTTTTCTGGTTTAGTAATGGGAGTGTTACTGTTGGAATTTAGCATGTCTAAGAATTTCTTCTATTCTTTGCTGACATTAAAACATTTGAGCTCAAAATGATAGGAATGTAACTCCAAGAAGGAATGCTGCTGCTATGTATTTAACATTATTGATGGTTTCATTAATAGTGGGTAAACATCACAAGCTTCAAGTTTTCTTATTAAGAGTTCAAATGGAACCAAATAATCATGGTACTGAAGTTTTTCTGGTACTGGAGAATATCATAAACCCACTATAAAACCCTTTTCTATACCTCCCCTAATGTATAGTTAAACAAGTTATGAATAATTTCATTCAGAGAATATAAAATATTCTTTTCTTTTTGAAGCATTTTTAAAGATTGCAGTTCTTTCAAATGATTAAAATTGTATTTTATAAGTTCATTATTGTGAAACCACTCAATGAAGTAATTCAAATGGATGAAATTACTTACAATTTTATGTTATGAGTTCAGGAAATCTTTAAGTAAAGGTTTTTTTTACTCTTACTTTAGATCTAGCTTTGTAGTCCAAAAAAGTTGCATTGAATGTGTTGGTATTGTTCATCTTTCCTGAGAATGAAGTTACCAGTTTTGAATTTAAGAAACTTCAAAACTAAATCAAATATTTTACATTCTCTTAGAAAAGAAAGACAGAGACTGCATTTATGCAATTTAACATACATTTTCTCAAACTTATAAAACAATCTGAAAAAATGCTACTACAACTCTTCTAAGATAGTAGGTACCAATTTAGGTTTAGGAAATCTATACAGAGTCAAGGCTTTGAAAACAAGAAACACAATCACTCACATCTGTACCAAATGTTATTCTATTATTACAGCAACTAAAAACTTACGAGATAAAACACGTTGAAACAGTTTTACATGGTAATACAATGAGCATTATAGTAAAAATCTGTCAAAATAAAAAAAATTATTAGCATAACATAGCATTAACAGACAACAAGGGAATTTCTGGTTTATCTAGGCTGTCCTATCTACTAAATTAAATTAAACCTTTAAAGAAAAAAACCTCTAAGCCAGCTCTTATCATTCACATATTTATCAAGCATTTCCTTAAACTTCATCAAATTAACTGTACCCACCATATCTGAAGGAAACCTGTTCCAGAGACCAACTACCCTGTTAGAAAAATCAAGTTGTCTTAACTAAAGATAAATTCTTCCCTACCAATATTTGTATGTGTCCCCTAGAAAACACCTCAACCAGATCCCCCCTAATTCTGTGTTGCTCAAGATAAAACAAATTCAAAGATTTTCACCTCATAAGATAACTTAAGTAACATACTAGTAGCCCTTCTCTAAACCCTTTCCAACAATTCCATGTCCTTTCTGAGGTAAGGAGCCAAAGACTGAACACAATACTTCAAATCTGGCCTTACCAATGACCTATACAATGACATTATAACCTGTTTAGACTTATATTTCTGTAGATACAACCTAAAATCCTGTAAACTATTAACAGCACAATGGTTGGATGGCTTGAAAGACTGATCAACCACAACACCAAGATCTTTTACTTTCATAACACTGTTAAGGGTTTTCCCATCAAAATTATACTTATAATTTCAATTCGAATATCATACATGCATTAATGAATACAACTAACAGCTTTAAGTATTAGTGACTGCACAATTTCCAGAGTTATATAACAACCACTAGTAACAAACAAGTTAAGCTACTAGATAACATTATAACACATTATAATCTATATCAGGGTAATGGCATAAATAAGGTGAAGTCACAAAGGTAAAGGAAAAACAAATGATGTAAATGAACATCATATTAATAAAACATCATCTTACTAGATTTCAAAACAAAAACAGCATAACCTGTAGTGTAAAATCCTTAAATCAAGTCAATTATACAATCAATTAAAAAAAACTGTTCAAATCTTAGTAAGCAATAAGTAGAAATAGCTACTATGCAACTTTCAAATAACATGCAATTCACGCAAGCTTTTGGCTAGTTCACTGGTCATTCTCAGAAGTCCAAATTACAGAGTAGAACATGAAAGTTTAAATAAAATAAAATAACCTAATTTTTTTTTTCTTTCAATAAATTAGAAGAGCCTTCTTTACCCATAGCATAATCTTGTTTTTGGCTTTACCGATTACTTCAAACATATTAGGAGATGGGACCATATCACATTCACTTAGAGCAAGCTGAACAATACTTGAACTTTTGTTGGACCTAGGATTTGTAATACCCAAAAATGAGCATCAGTTAAAAAAAATTGTAGAATATTTGAATTCTAGACATCTCTACCCTTTCTTGACATACGTGTTCAACAAACTAGGACATTTTGATGTGGGTTGTTACTAGAAACCCACCTACACCAGACTATACATCAACTTTGTTTTGTTCCACTTCATTTCAAAGAAAACCTCGTGAAATGTCTTACATCTTGTGCACACTGAATCAACAGTTCCTGTGAACTTTTACAGCAACAATTACTCAAACATAAAATCAATTTGAAAATTTAACTCCTTCCCAAACAACTTTCTAGATTATACCATCAATAAAACCACTCAACAACACATCCCAAAGTTATAAGTAATGATCTCTTATAGAGACACACACTCACGAATCTTGAAGAAGAAATTAAATGCCATAATCTACAGAGTCTATCCATAAGTTTGCAATCAATGTGTATTTAGACCCCTATTGAGAATTCAGATTTTTAAAGACTAAATCCAATTTTCTCAACACTCATGTCATTTATGAATTTTGCTGCCCAATGTGTGTGTGGGGTGTTTACATTGGTTTGACTCTTAGAAGGCTGGGGGATCACTTAAAAGAACACTCTAATCCTAGGTTTAGGGAACAGTTCAAGAATTATTTGGCCTGCACAAATTGAATTTAATTTGTTCCCATCCCCCAATATGTTTAAAGTAATCGGTAGAGCTTAAAAGGAGACTATGTTACAGGTCAAGAAGACTCTTCTAATTTTTCAAAAGAGGCTGAAATAAAACAGTCAACAAAGTGCTACTGAACTTTATTTGCAATTTAGATGACTGGATTATATTTATTTTTTATAATTAGAAACAGAAGCTTAGCTCTATAGACTTCCATAA